CAAAGGCTTTGCATTGGTGGGAATGCGCAGCCAAAACAATGATGCTCTGCAAACCCCAGCCGTGGAGAGAAAATAATCAATCCTCCTCCGTGCAATATCGCACCTGAAAGCGGGGAGGCTGCCAGCAAGTCTCCAAATCCGCAAGGCTAATGAAATTGGATTGCGGGCTCGCCAAAAAAACTTCCAGGGAAATCGATGCCTTGGTTGTGCTAGATATACAACAAGCAGATGCACCCACTTCCACGAATACATGCCGTGCAAAAGAATGCTGATGATGTCTCGCACATGAGCCAGACTGGCGGCCAACAGTGCAGAGAACGAGTACGACCACCATGCGTAGCGACCCGCAGACGCAGATCGACGAGCAAAGGCAACCTGCAAATTCAACCTGATTTCTTGCATGTGTCCGGGTTTGCGCCTAAACCTGGGAAACGGTCTGTCACGATGATTTCGGTATGAAACGTGTTGGTGTTGTTTTTGCTGCAGCGGAGAGGGCACTGCTCGAATACAAAACTGTTCGTAGTCCAACACGTGACCTTCAGAACCGAAAACACCAGGCAACATACGCATCACATGCGGGTCATATTTTTCCACGTCCTGTACTTCAACTCTGGTCTGCAGGATTTCTCCCTTCGCCCATGCGTGGCAAGAAAATGCTCTCTGAACCGACAAACGTATCCGGACTGCACGCAATGAGACTTCCTAGCGACATTTGCTTTTCCAAAATAGTGCGAACCAATATTCGCCATCCAGAAAGCGTACTGAAAAGACTCATCACGCACCCTCCCAGGATGCCAGATCAAATCATGGACTGTCCCGGCGTACCCGCGCAAGAACTTCTTCTGGGCGTCTCCGTAAAAATGACGTTGAAGCTGCAACGGCATGGTGCGGAGGATCACCCGCAAGAAATGCTTCCTGCCTTTGCACCGTGCAACATCACACATGGACAAAAAGAACTGCAAATGCGTGCCAACTCGCCAAAGAGCATAGTCATGTCGATCAGACACACGTCCGGCTAGAACCCACCTGCAAAATACCGCAAACATGTCTCTCAAATGATTTATTGCACCTGGCAGAAGTTTGTTTTCGAAGTACAAGTATGTACAACCAGTAATCATGATCGAGATGTGTTGGTATGCATGTTCTGTGCACCGCCGGGAATCACGACTACTCAATCCCACAGTGAGTGCAAGCCTACGCGCGAACACGCTCGCACTCCACTGCCTGAGATGTCCTCGGGCAACGGTTTCCGCATTGTCTGCATGTATCTGGCCGAACAGACGCTCGAACGCACAAACGAACGCCATGCCGAATATAAGTTAGATGGAATCTGGATGTGCCTGCGGCGCCGCTGGTAACACGGACCTGCCACAGTGAAAATCTGTTGATAGATTGGCGGATTGCGTAAGCAATTATGAAGGATAAATGACCCACTCGATGTCTGATTTTCCACCTCGTGAGGCTCCAGGGGCAGAGAACAAGACAAAGGTTGCGAGAGCAATCTAATATGAGCAACAATACACTCCCATCACCGCTTAAAGTCCGAGGCCACGTTTGGAGAGGCCGCCATCGGGTTTAAAGTGTATTACCTGCTGCTCTGCCACATCTAAACGATGCCGTCGAGCCAGAACGGTTACAGACACAAATGCGCAGAAACACAGCAAGAAAACACACAGTGGGCACAAAGACGCGTGCTCAGATCAATCAGGGCGGGAGGTAGACAGCTGCTGCTCCCCCCCCTCCCCCCCCCCTTCCCCTTCCCCTTCTCCTTCCCCTTCCTCTTCCTCCTCCTCCTCCCCCCCCCCCTTCCCCTTCCCCCCCCTCCTCCTCCCCCCCCCTCCCCCTCCCCATTGGGGGCTCCTGCTCCCGAGGCCCCCTCCCCCCCTCCTCTTCCCCTCCCTCCTCCTCCCCCCCCCCTCCCCTTCCCCTCCCTCCTCCTCCCCCCCCCCCTCTCCCCCTTCCCCTCCCTCCTCCTCCCCCCCCTCCCATCCCCCCCTTATTGGGGGCTCCTGCTCCCGTGGCCTCCCTCCAAAGGGAGCCCTCAGAAAAACCCGAGGGTGACTGAAGGGGCCCCAGGACACACAAATAAATAGACACAAATAGCAGGATTCCATAGATTTTCATATATTTCCTGATTTTTGTCTTCCCCCCCACTTTCCATGTAATCCCATATGTTCTGCGGAATCGGCGATTCATTGTGCCTCTCCCGAGTGACCCTGACGCTTCCCGGAGCAAGCCCAGCGCCTCTGTGGCAGCACCCGCCAGCGCCCCTTCCTCCCGCACGCCCGGCGGGCCCCGCCCCCCCAAGACGAAGCCAGGACGAGGATCAAATTAGGTCGGGCGTGCCCCCCTACGGGCGGAGCCTGGGCGAAAAATTGGAAATACAAACAAAAAAATCAAAACTAGTAGAAAAATCATCCCCTGACTTTCTTTGTTGACCTTTGAACCTTCCCCCTGTGCAGGGACGTGCCCGACTTACGGCTAAAATCGGGTGAGGATAAATCGAAACTCTCTGAGATCTGGCGGATCTGGAGAATGTCTCGGGCGCCGCGGCCTTCTCAGAGCGTTCTGGAACGCTCTGAGAGCCTTCAGGCAAGCTCTGGAACGGATGCATCCTCGTCCTAGCCCCGTCCGATCCCCCCCGCCCCACTCCCTCCCCCGGGAGCCCTCAGGAAACCGAAGGCTGCCCCGGCGATGTCCGTAGCGCGCTCCAGGAGTCCACGATGATTTTCTCTGCAAGCCTGAGCACTTCCTAGCAAGTCAGGAGGGAAAAAGAAGACAGACACAATGCATCGTCGACTCCCAGGGAAGTATGGAAAAAGATTGGAAGTGGGGGGGGGAAGGCAAAAAACCCAGGAAAAATACTCGAAACTCTGGGGAATCTTTTTATCTGTGTATTTATTTGTGTGTCCTGGGGCCCCTTCAGCAGGATCCGACGCCCCAGCAAAAAAAGCCGGGACGGGCGGGCTGGGCCGCCGTCGGCCGCTCGGGCGCCGGGCCTCGGGAGCGTCGAGAACGACTCGGGACGAAAAACTGGCCCTACAGGCCTCGGAACAAATTAGCGAGCACATGCCACATTTCTCGAGCGCGAAAGATACCCGTACCCTTACCCAGACGGGGTGGCAAGGGGCCCTCGGGGCATCACCCCCCCTGGGTCCGGGTCGGCTCCCGAAACCACCATACATACCCGTACCTAGACGGGGTGACCCAACCACCACCCCAGCTAGGTCCGGGTATGTATGGTTGTTTCGGGCACCGACCCGTACCCAGACGAGGTGGCGGCAAGGCCGAAAACGCTCTAGCGGGCGGCCCTTTTCACCCCAGCTGACTCCGGGTCCGGGTATGTTTTGGGGTAATGAACATTCATCCGTCAACGCTTCCCCCTCCCCCCAATGTTCAAAGTTGGCGGTGGGTCTGACGAGATGCACTTCGACCGCAGTCTCCCCCGCGCGTGCCAACGCTGAATTTGGGGGGGAGGGGGAGCGTTCAGTAATTGTTTCCCTCTACCGTAGGGAAGCGGTCCGGACCTCCAGCAGGCGAGCTCAGACTTGAGTCGATAAGTCGGATCGGCGAACGAAATTAATCGAATCGGCGGAAATCGGCAGCCAAGTCGGGAAAAGACGAATCGGCGGACGTCGGCAGGCTAGCATGCCTCCGATGAGAAATCAACATCCACAATCCGAATCCCAAGTCGAACAGAATCGGAATCGGAAGCCATCGACATCGAACCGGATCGAATCGGAGGACTCGAAACGAGCTGGATCCAAGGCCCACGCATCCAAGAAGTTGGAGCAGCCGGACGACTGGGCACGGGAGCACAGACGCTGGAGTCTCAGGGGGAGGCGCGTCCTCGAGCGCCGCTTCGTGACGAGGGCGGCGGCAGCCTCGAGGAGGCGGCGGCGTGCTCGCAGGCCTCCGATGGGGGCCACGGTCCCAGACAGGATCGCGTCGTAGAAAATCAGGACGGGCGGTGTTCGGCTAACTTCGGCCTCGGGGGGGGGCCCCTCGATGGGCCTCGACGGCTCAGGACGAAAAACCCGTCCGGGGGAAAGGGACGGGACTTCCAGGGTCCCCGCATGGAGAAAGTCAGGACGTCGCATGTCTGGGGTAGCTTCGCGAATCGTCTGGCGTCAGGCCACCCGCACATCTCACCTCATCCTCCGGCTACACGCAAGAGTGACCGTGGGCAAGAGTGACCTTTGGTGGGCGGCTTTCGGGGAGCCGCGGGGGGGTCCAAACCCGAGCGCGCAAGCCGCTGCTATCGCATCGCTTTGGGCGATCGGGGGACCCCAGTGGGCCAGCACCAAAGGTCACTCAGGCAAAAGGTCACTCTCACGTGAAGTCGACACCCCCCGCTCATCTCACCTCCCCTGCGATCCGACGTACTTGGAGAAACAGCTGCAACCTCGTGAAAAATCACGACCGGAGCCCCAGACCTTATCCTTCTGCGCCATTTTTCAAGCCGGATCCATCCGTGAAGGTCCCCAGGCCTGACATTGGGCGAAAACGCCAGGTGCGAAGAAATGGCAACGCCTCCCCGCGCCCTTCGGCGTGCAGATGGGGTCGGAGGACCGCGCCGCATCGCCGATGCATCGGCGATGTATCGGCGATGTATAGGCGATGCATCGGCGATGCACCAGCAACGTTGGCGAAGGCTGGCGAAGTCGGCGTGGAGAAAATCGGGCTCCACATCGAGCCGCATCGCCGATGCATCGGCGATGCGGCGCGGTCCTCCGACCCCATGTACTCCGACCCAATCCAGACATGCGATGTCCTGATTTGTTCCAGACGGAATCCCTGGAAGCTCCGAACCTTTCCACGGGACCGGTTTTTCGTCCTGAATCGCTTTTTGACGGCCCCGAGGCCCGGCGAGGGCCCCCCCGAGGCCGAAACTCGCCAAACACCTCCCGTCCTGTTTTTTTGTCTTTGCTACGACGCGACCACGTCGGGGCCCTTCTCCCTTCCCCCCCCCACCCCCCAGGCCGCTCCCCCCCCCGCGCCCTTCGGCGTGCAGATGTCCAGCGGCAGCTGCAGGTACTCGCACAGCAGGATCTCGTAGAGGCACCTCCCCCGCGGGCCCGGCCGCTCCCCCGCCCCGCGTCGGCCACCTGCGCCCCGCCCGGTGTCCCACGCCTGCGCGCCTTCGTCGTCGTCGTCGTCGTCGTCGTCGTCGTCGTCGTCGTCGTCGTCCGTCGTCTTCGTCGTCGCCACCATGTACCCCTCGAGTTTCCGACCCCATATCCGTGGCGGCCGACACACCTGGAAGTGATGAGGTCGTCGTCGTCGCCGTTTACTGATATACGGGATTCCCCAACCTGCGCGTTGAAGCCACCAGCGAGTATAATATGACGTCGTGTTTTGATGCTCTCTCTCTCTCTCTCTCTCTGTGTGAATCCCGTGGATCGCGTCGTACATGCGCTGAATGTGCGGCGCCCAGAGTGTAGAACATATGCGGCCACCAATTGCAAGTTTTCTTTTCAGCAGCATCGTGGCGAGTCTTGGCGAGTGGGCCCCAAATCTCTGTATGCTCTTTCCCCAACGCTTGTGTATAAGAATAGCAACTCCGTGGCACGCCTGGTCATTGCCAGATCCAACACACGTATGCCCTTCCAGGGTTGTCCATAATTCTGTTGTCGTCGTCCTCAATGTCTCCTTGATGAGCACAAAATCCCAATGGCAATTGTCGAGCTCTGAGGTGAGTTCGTTGACCCGGTCGTGTGTCGTAAATGCCCAATCATTTTTGTGAATGACCGTTATGCGTATGTCCCGTCGGCGCTCGTCAATGGTCGGTGTCCTTTTCGTTGGTGCTGCTGGTTGGTCGTGGTCGGCGCTGGTCTGGATTGCTTGGTGTTGGCTTGTCGCTGCTAGTCGGCTGTCTTGTTGTTGTGTGTGCGGTCTGCGGTTGATTGGGTGTGTGTTGCTGGTGGTACTGGTATGTTGTCGATTGCGTCGTTGTTTGCTCGTCGTTGTTGGTCAGTGCTGGATGGTGTGAACTTTCTGGTGTTGGTCGGTGCCACTGCTGGCGCTGGTGGTCGGTGCTGGTGGTGGTGGTTTGGTCAAGTGTTGCTGGTCTTGTTGGTCGGTGGTCAGTGTTGTTGGTTGTGGTGGTTGGCTGCGGTCGAGGTTTGCTGGTTGTGATTGGTCGTGGTAGTCGGTCGCTGCTGGTCGATGGTGCTGTTGCTGTTTGTGGTGGTCAGTGCAATTTGGCAGTGGAGTGCGCCGTGCTGTGAAAATGCTCAGTGGCACGTCGCCGTCTGCATGTGCAAAGCCCTTTCTGCCACCGCCTGTGCTGCGTGCTGGCATTGTCGTCGAAGGTGGTCGCGACGCTGACCAAGACGATGTAGGTCCTGAGAGCTGAATTCCTTGAGAGCGGGGAATAACAAATGAATTACCGGATTCGTCCTGTAGAGCACTCTCAAAAGTCTCAGCGTTCCTGGGAAGATTCGTCCGGATTCAACTTGGAGAGAGGGGGACAGGGAATGGAAAAATCGAATGCCTATGGAAATGAATTCTTGATGGTGGGCGAAACTCAATATTGTGGGTTGTATTGGCCCCATGTTCCCGGGAGGGAGGGGCATCCCTTCACTCAGACTCGGTCGCTGGGTCGGGGTCAACCTTTTTCCTCCATGCGTCCATGGACGCCTTCACGTCCTGCTCAACCTTCTTGGCTGTTCCCTTAGTGCGCCAGGCCCCGGACTCATCGATCCAGGCCACCTTCCGGCCGTGAACCTCCACCACGCTCTTCTGCCAGACGATCTTGATGTCCTCATCCTTGGCGTGGCCCTTGCGGGTGAGGTGGAACTTGGTGTGACCAAGTAGTTTGTCATTAGTCCTCTCTTTCATTGTGGAGTTGTTCCGGCAGAAGACGGGCTTCACGTGTTCTTTACCCTTGATCGGTTCCATTTTCTTGTAGAATCGATTCTGTGAGATGCGACCTCGAATGTGATGATCCCCATCTTCGCAGGATTTCCGCAAGCTTCCACCTTGGCGGTGTGGCTGTCGCCCAGCACTTCGGTGAGTATCGCCTCGATCTTGGCGATGATGATGTCCAGTTCCATACGCTCCTTGAAACCTAACGCGAGCACCTGCTTGTCCCAGATGTCGGAGTCCGACTCCTGGTGGTTCCTGCGGATGGGGATTTTTGAAAGCTGTATGTGCTCGACCTCCTTCTGCACTGTGGCCACAGTCTCCTTGGTCTTGTTGATTTTGTCCTCTAAGCTGGCTATGGTCAACGACGTCTGGAGGGCAGCCTGCTTCGCGGATACCGCTTCGGTCTTGGCTTCCTGAGCGATGGCAAGGCTTGCATCAGCAGTCGTGCTGAGGCCTCCCATCAGGCAGGCCCTGGAGTTCCGCAGACCTTTCCTCAACTCTGTCAGGTTTGGGAATGATTTTCGGCTTCTTGTGATCGTCGGGAAAGTGAGTTGCTCCATTGGGCAACATGTTTCGCCATGATGCTAAGCACAGGATGTGTAGAGATATGTTGCAAAGAAGTAATAGAAGGAGATGGGAAACCCCAGTTCCTATCGAGACGATTTTTCCTCGTTCGAGCCTTCCTCGCTTGAGCCAAAATGGCTAGGAGGAAGGAGAAGGAGGAGGAGGAGGAGGAGGAGGAGGAGGAGGAGAAGGAGGGAGAGAGGAGGCAGGGAGGGAGGGAGGCAGGAGGAGGACAAGGAGGAGGAGGAGGAGGAGGAGGAGAAGGGAGGGAGGGAGGGAGGGAGAAAGGGAGGGAGAAAGAGAGGAGGAGGGGGAGGAGGAGGAGGAGGAGGAGGAGGAGGAGGTGGAGGAGGAGGAGGAGGAGGGAGGACTGGACTGCGCTGCGCCCTCGAATGGGAACGGCTGCCCGCTGTTAGTGAATATTGCCCCATGTTGCCATGCTCTTGCCTCTCGCAGTGAACCTAGATCCCCCTCCCAAGAAACACAATCGTGCCATGTGCAATCAGAAGAGGGTAGGTCTGCATATCGGAGAAGGGGGTGGCGGATGAGCTGGAGGATGACCCTGAGATCCGACGTCTCGAACATTTGAAACATCGTGAAACATCACGACCCGAACCCTCGATCTCCATCTCTCTGGGCATTCTTCGAGCCAGATCAATCTGCGAAGGTCCCCAGGGCCCGGAACAAGTGCAACGCGAAGGTCTCAGTGGAGGTGCTGTGCCTCGGGGGAGGAGGTGGCGGATGAGCTGGAGGATGGGCAGGAGGAGGAGGAGGAGGAGGAGGAGGAGGAGGAGGACGAGGAGGAGGAGGAGGAGGAGGAGGAGGAGGAGGCCTATCTGCGCTCTTGCACCTCGGTCCAGGGGAACGGGTCCGGGGGAATGGGTCACAGGGAATGGGTCCGGGGGAAGGGGTCGAGATCCCTGGGGGTCCTGTGGTTTGAACCGAATAGAGCCACGAACCCCAGCTTCAGATGTGCGTTCCCGCGCTGCGAGATTCCACTCCAGGGCCGAAGGAGGCCGCCCATGGCCGTGCAGCAGGCTGCGCCGGAGGCTCGTGCAGTCGCTGTGGTCACCCGAAGGCTTTGTCTGTGCGGCTGTGCTTGTGGACTGCACCACGGCCGCCCACCGCACTCTGGCCCTGCGCGCCTCGCTGCTGCTGCACACCCCCTGGCTGCTCATCGTCGAACTCTTCGACGTCTGAGCGTCCCTCCTTCCTCTCGGCCGCCCGCCCCCCCCATCTCTTTGCTCGCCGGCCAATTCGCTAGACAGTGCCCCTTTCTATAGCTTCTCGCTGGAGCGAAGTTCGCCGCCTCGCCGCTGACGAAAACAGTATTTCTGGACTGCACGTTTGGGACGTGCGCAGCGGGGCCGTTCTGAGGCCTCCGGGAAGCCTGTGGGCTGCGCATCGGACTTATTATCGGAGAAGGTGCTCGAAAATCAAGCGGGGCTTCTCTGGGTGCCCTCACGGCGGGCCCGGCTTCCGAGACAGAGGGCTGCCAGGGCAGGGCCGGAAACGAGGAGTCGTACGTTCGGTCCCGCGTTGCACGGTTCCTGCATGAAGCCTGGCCTGGTTGAAGCCTCCGACCGGGTCCCTGATGAGGGTCAGGAGGCAGGGAAGGGGAGGAGGAGGAGGAGGAGGAGGAGGAGGAGGAGGAGGAGGAGGAGGAGGAGGAGGAGGAGGAACGGGGGGAGGAGGAGCGGGGAGTAGAAGGAGGGGAAGATAGGAAGCAGGGTGGAGCAGGGCAAGGAAGGATTGTGCCCTTCCGAGCTGCCCAGGGCCCTCTTGGGCCGCCGTGAGGGGCTGGGGCCGTCTTGGGGCGCTCTGTGGGATCTCTGGGACCCTCTTGGAGTCCTTCTGTGGCGCTCCTCGGTTTTATATTGGGAACCTTTGGGAGCCTTCTGGAGCCTCTCTTGAGCTGTCTTCGGGCTCTCGGGGGCCTCTGGGGCGATCTTGGGCTGCTTGGAGCTCTCTCTGGGGCCTCTCCTGGGCTGTCTCGGGGCGTATTCTGAATGAGGCCTTGTCTGATTGAAGGCTCGACGGGGTTCCTGGAGAGGGTAAGAAGGCACGGAACGGGGAAGAGAGAAAGGGGGGTGAAGCAGGGCGAGAAGGGAATCGGGCCCGTCTGGGCTGCATAGAGCCCTCTTGGGACGTACTGGGGGGCTAAAGCTGTTTTGGGGCGCTCTTGGGATTCTCTCAGGCCCTCATACGGGGGCCTTCTATAGCGCTCTTCGGTTTCTCTTGGGAGCCTTTTGGAGCTCTCTCGAGCCTTTCTTGGACTGCCTTCGGAATCTGGGGCAGCTCTTGGGCAGTCTTGGGTCGATCTGATGGTTCTCTTGGACGCCTTCCCTCTGGGGCCTCTCGTGGGACGTCTTAGAGCTCTCTAGTGCTGTCTTGGAGCCCTCTTGGACTGTATGCGGGCTCTCTTGGGGCCCTCTTCGGCAGTCTTGAGCCGATCTTGGGGGCCATTGGGGCCGTCGTGGACGCTATGAAGACCAGGAAAGGAGCAGGCGAATGACGTAACCTTCCCCAAGGGAGTTGCATGATGTTCGCCCCTTCGGGGCCCTCGGGGGCCTCTGGGAGTTATCTTGACGGCTCTTTCAGCGCTTTGGGATCGTCTGTCTGTGGGGTCTCCAGGGCTTCTCGAAGCACGCTGGGGCCACAACTGCAAATGTACAACCGTCTTCCGCCATCTTCCGCCAGCCTCTTGGACCGTCTTCGGGCTCTCTCGAGACCCTCTTCGGCAGTATTGGGCAGATTTGGGGGGCCTTTTGGGCTGTCGTGGACGTTGTGAAGACCGTAAAGGGAACAGACTAATAACGTACGTCTTCCCAAAAGGACTGGGATGATTTTCGCCTCTTCGGGCCCTCTTGGGGGCCCCCCCTGATCGTCTTGACTCTATCTTCGGGGCTCTTCGAGGGATCCTGCGTCGTCTCGGGGCCCTCCTGGCCCCTCTTGCAGCGCGCGTCTGAGGCCTCTTGAAGCCCGCCCGTGGACGCACGGGCGGTGCCCCCAGACATGCGACGTCCTGATTCCTTCGGGGCGGGGCCCCTGGAAACCCCGACCCCTTCCCCGGGACCGGTGCTGCATCCTTGAGTCGTTGCGGGATGGCCCCGAAGCCCGGCGAGGGCCCCCCGAGGCCGGAATTGGCCAACAGCCTCCCGTCCTGATTATTTGTTGTTGACGACGCGATCATGTCTGGGCTCTCGTGCGGCTTCTCGCCGCCCGCGCCTCGGAGGCGGCCGCTGACGCGCGCGCGCGCGTTCGTTCCCCCCGCAGGGAGGCGCCAGCAGCGCTGCAGCGGAGCGCCGTCCTCCCCGAACATGAGCGCCATGGCCGAGCAGGTGCGGCTCTCCAGCGCCTTCTTGAAGGCGGACCTCGGGACCCAGACGTGATCGCATCGCCACGCAACATATACCTTCTTAAATCACAAGCAAGAAAAGACACAGACGGGAGGGCTTTTGCCCAATTTCGGCCTCGGGAGGGCCTCGCCGGGCCTCGGGGCCGTCACAAACGAGTCAGGATGAATCACGGGTCCGGGGAAAAAAGTCTGGACTTCCAGGGACCCAGCGACTTGACAAAAATCAGGACGTCGCATGTCTGGGGGCGTCCCTCGGCGGTGCCCTCGGCGACCACCCTGAGGCCCGAGGCTCTCGGCGCCCCCCCCCCCAAGACAGGCGACGCCCTGATTTGTTCAACGCGCGGGGTCCCTGAAGTCCCGACCCCTTTCCCGGGACCGACGTTTCATCCTGAGGCCGTTTTGTTGACGGCCCCGAAGGGGGGGGATGGCGGGGTGTCTGGCTCCAGACCTCTGCTTAGTGCGACTGTTTGGAGCCGTGCGTCGACTCCACCTGCTCGAAACAGGCGCCAAAAGCAGCCAAGATGCACTCCATGGGAGGGGAGGGGAGGGGGGTGCGAGGGCCCGCGCCGATCGGCAAAACAAGGAATAAAAAACGATCGCTTGGGCAAGAGCATCCCGTCCTGCTGTATTTTCTACGGCGCGATCGTGCCTGGGCTCGGCGGCCCCGGGGCGGTCTCGCAGGCCCGTCACCCGCGCGAGGCCCGCCCCTGCCCCTGGGTCGGGCACGTGTGCCATGGCTCTTTCACAAAAAGGTAGGGGGAGGAGGAGGAGGTGGAGGAGGAGGGGGGAAGAGGGGGCAAGACATCGCCCCTCGGGGCCCAGCAACGGGGCCCAAATCCCAGGTGGGGGCGCGGGGGGGAGGTGGTGTACGTCGCGACGCGGAATAAAGTGCTCAGAGCGGAGGGGACACGGGGCGGAGGTCCCACTTGGGCGTTGGGGGCGCGGAGGGGAGGGGGGGAGGTGGTGTGCGTCGCGACGCGGAATAAAATGGTCGGGGCGGAGGGTCCAATAGGGCGCTGGGGACGGGGGGGTGACGGGGGGGAGGTGGTGTGTGTCGCGACGCGGAATGAAATTGTCGGGCGGAGGGGGCACGGGACGCGGGGGGGAGGTGGGGGAGGGGGTGTGCGTCCGACGCGGAAAAAAAGCGTTCGTGGCGGAGGGGGCAGTGGGCCCTTCCCGCTGGGGCGCTGGGGACGCGGGGGGGCTCGGGGCAGAGAGCCACGGCGCGGGGGTTTTCACTCTGGCGGTGGGGGCGCGGGGGGGGGGGGGGAGGGTGTGCGACGCAGAATAAAATTGTCGGGGCGGAGGGGGCAGTGGGCGGGGCTCCCGCTGGGGCGCTGGGGACGCGGGGGGGCTCGGGGCAGAGAGCCACGGCACGGGGGTCCCACTCTGACGCTGGGGACGCGGGGGGGGGGGGTGCGACGCGGAATCAAGTGGTCGGAGCTCTAGACACCCTGTGCAAGAGAATTAACAAATATGCCAAACGTGCGCAAAACGAATCGAAATTAGTCAACCATCGTCCCATGAGAATTGTGATCCTTCCTGAAATAGTCACGGGCACGACTTAGCACTGCCCTCGGTCGCGCTGGCCGCGGCGGGCGGCAGACCGGCGGCGGCCGCAGGCCTGCAGGCATCGCTCGGCAATGGGAGCGCCCGCTGCTGCTTCTGGAGGTTGCTCCAAGGTGCCCTTGGCCCAAGGGGCTGAGGAGTCGAATCCCCCCCTCCTGCGAAGCTCACCGTCGCATCCTCGGCCCTCCTTCTTCTCGCGTTCCCCTCCGTCCTGCGTCCCTCCCTGCCTCCCTCCCTTCCTCTCCTCTCTTTTTTGTTGTTCTCTCTCTCTCTCTCTCTCACTCTTTCTCTATCATCACACTCTCTCTCTCTTTCTCTCCCCATTGTTCCCGTCGCGCGGCGGTTGTCTACCTTCAGTGCGAAGCCTTCCCAGTCCAGCCCCGACTGATGGTGGCAACGGGGGATCCGACTCCCGAGCCGGCCCGAGGTGTCCCCAGCGTTCTCATTCAATCCTGGAGCCCCTGCTTGGGGCCCTCTGGGCCTCGTGAGCCGTGCGCCGGAGGCCTCGGGGCGGGCCTCCCTGGAAATCCCGGAGGGACCTTTGGGCCGGTGCTTCGGCTCTGGCGTCCGGCAGCACTCTGCGGACGCCAGGCCCCTCGACAGGCACCCTGGGGGGGGCGGGCGCAGCACCAGGCCCAGGGTGGAGTGGGGAGCTCCCGGCTCACTGGAGGCCTCCTGGATGGGGTCCGAGTAGATGGGGTCGGGGGATTGCACAGCATGGCCGATGCATCAGCGACCTCGGCGATGCATCGGCGACGTCGGCGCGGAGAGAATCGGGCTCCATATCGAGACGCATCGCCGATGCATCGGTGATGCGGAGCGCTCCTCCGACCCCATCCACTCCGACCCCATCCAGCAGCTCCCGGCTGACGCCGCGCAGAAAGGACGACCTCTGCGCAGGAGATCTGGAAAGGAGCGGCGATTGGTGAGGCTGGCCTGTGCCGGACGGTTTCCCCCGGGGCCGTAGGCGACCCGAGGAGGGGAGGGCGAGGAGGAGGAGGAGCTGGAGGAGAAGGAGGAGGAGGAGGAGGAGGAGGAGGGGGAGGAGGAGGAGGAGGAGGAGGAGGAGGAGGAGAAGGAGGGAGGAGGAGGAGGAGGACGAGGACGAGGCGAGGACGAGGAGGAGGAGGAGGAGGAGGAGGAGGAGGAGGAGGAGGAGGGGGAGGGGGAGGAGGAGGGGGGGAGGAGGAGGAGGAGGAGGAGGAGGAGGAGGAGGAGGAGGAGACAAGACAAGACAAGCTCGCGGAGTCCTGCGGCAGGGACGTGTCCTTGACGCCGAGGGCTCTGAGGGGGCGGCAGTCCGCCGACTTCTGCACAATGCTGGCCGCGCGCTCCCCGATTGGGGCACGGGCCCAAGCGGCAACCCCAGGGGCACGATATCCCCTATAGGGCGCCGCCCGCAGGGCGTGAGCCCTTCGCTCCACCTATCTGGCCTTTCTGAGAGTGGGGTGGGCGGGACCTGGGACGAGCGGGACGGGCAGGGGCGAGAGTGGCCACAGGAATGGACGGAAGAGCAGCATGGGAATATGTAACAATATGAACCTGCGTGGCGCGATGCACCGCCTCGGCCGAGACGGCGCCTCTGCGCAACAACTCTGCTAGCCTCTCACTCCTGAGAAGGGCCTGGCGGCTGGGGAGGCCAGGGAGGCTCAGCTCTTGCTGCTCAGGCCGATGATCTCCCTCGCCAGTGGGCCCCGTGGGGCTGGGCCTGACATCCTCTCCGCCGACTGGCTCGTCATGACCCTGCCCATCAGCTCGTGCAGTGCGAGGCCCGCGGGAGACCTGCCGCCCATCGCCCACTCGAAGTGGCCCGCGCGCCCCTCGCCATCCTTGATCTTGTGCAGGCGCACGCGGAAGACCCGCACGATGAGCCCCAGCTCTGGCAGAGGGACCGACCTGAGGTCCGTCATGGCCTTGATCACGACCGTCTTCATCTCCTCGTCTTTCCTCTCCGTGAACAGCGAGACGGCGGCGATCATGAAAGTCATGAAAATGTGCAAGTGTGGGCTGCCTCGGCCCTTCCAGTCCTGGGCCTCGCCCTGATTCTGAGCCTTCTTCATGTCCTTGCTGGTGTTGTTGTACTCCTTGCCCGCGCGAACGCTGGCCTCCACGAGAGAATTGGCGGCTGGGAGGACGGCGCACTCGTAGACCGTCGACTTCAACTCTGCGACGTCCCGCTCGAGCGTGACGAGGAGGCGCGCCATGAGGGTCACGAGCTTGGCCTGGGCGCTGCCCTTGCCGCCCTTGCCCATGCTGACCTCCTTCGCGCCGCCCTTGTCCTTCTCGCCCTCCTTCGCATCGTCCTCGGCGCCGGCCTCGAGGCGGCGCTTCTTGTCTTTGAACCACGCTGGCAGGGGTAAATCTGCACTGCCCTGCCCCTGCGTCGCCATCCTCGCGACCTCGAGCGGAGGTGGGTGTCGTCACATGGACTGGGAGATGCTGTTGAACCAAATGGCAGCAAAGCCCATCGAGATCAGCTTGTTCGCTTTGGCAGAGACGACACGAGTACGAATTCGGTTGCACCAGAGGCAAGAGCGTGCGACCTCCTCCCACGGGGCAAGTACCTTTGAGCATGGCCGTCTCTAGATGCCTCCCCGCACACCACCTATCACGAAAGACGGCCTTGCAGCAAATACAGATGTTAGTAGGCGTAAGCACAGCCGAGAGTTTACGTTGGTGATGTGCAAAGCGAAGGTGGTTCAACAACTGCTTCCTCGAGTGAAATCTGCTCTCGCAGCCAGGGACATTACAGCACCGAGAGGGGCCCTCAGGAACATCAGGCAGGACATGCGTACCAGAGGAAATTGCTGCAGAGGTCGCCTTGTAGTCACCCGGCTGCATAACGCGACCACTGCTTGAAATCTGGCCTGCATGACCCAGGGGTGGGACCTCTACCGAGAAGACCCTCGAGCGAATCTTAGTCATGTCGATGGCCAGGAACTCCACACTCCGATCACGATCTGCCAGGATCCTCAAGTCGTGGGCAACGTCCTCAATGCACTGCTCGTCAATAAGTTGGGCTGCTGTACTTAGATCCTCCACCACCTGACGGGCCCACGGTGAGGCCCATTGAGTCAGCTTTCCACCCAAGCACGGCGGCCGAGCGGAATCGATCTCCAGGGACCCGAAAAGCGCAATAAGAACCTGGGAAGCCCCTTCAGGATCAGCAGCCCAACTTTGGTACAGCCGAAGGCGACGGACGTGTAGCTCGACCCTGGAACCCGTGAGCTCCCAGAAATCCAGAACCTGCTGCGTACTCATACTGTGCACGTGCTCCCCCTCCCAGTCGGTGGCTTTGCCCTGCATCGCTGTACGTGCTAACCCCGCCATACACCCATCCAGCAAAGAATAATCTCGAGGAGAAAGCCAGAAAGCCTCGAGAGCAGATAACAGAGCGTTTTGCACCAGGCCTTGTAGCAGTGAGCGTTTATGTCGACGAACGATGGGTAGCGACCAAATGACCCCCAGCGAGAAGAAGGCCCGCCTGGCTGCCTCGCAACGTCTGGCAACTTCGTGGTGGGCGCTGTCCCGAAGAGCGAGATGGGGGCCCAAGTACCTGGCGTCTTCTTTAGGAACCCCCGCCAGGCCGAAGCGATCAGCAGCACGAAGCAGTTTACGAAAGTAATGCGAGCCCGCTCCCGAGAAGTAGAACAGGAACTCTTGCTTACTCATATTCTGGGCCAGGCCAAAATCCGAGAGATAATCGTTCAACAGAGCATCAATCTCAGAAATCTTATCTAAGAAATCGACAAACGTCATACCCTCAGTTGCAACGATAAACTTGTTCAGGTCATCTGCGTATTTTAGAAGCGACAAATCGGTCTGGAGGTCGCCCCACTTCCCCCTCAGGGCCTTCGCCATCGGGTCCACGTCCATCAGATTTCTGCTCCATCTCATAATAGGTCTAGAAAGCGTGTGCAGGAATGTTTGTACCACAAATGGGTCCCCCATTACCCCGCCTTCCCGTGTTTTTACAGTGACCTTGCCATCGCTGCCAGTGAGCTCCACCGCCGATAGGTGATAACGCTGTTTACAGAGATCTGCATCTTCAGGCCGGGTGTGGATTTCCATACTCACGTCCATGGAGTCCCAGGAGGTACTGGCGAAGGCGTTTGTCATATCCTTGAGCGTCATACAATGTGTACGTTTTATCTGTCTCAACCTGTGGCTAATAATCTGAGCGATTAGGATCGGGTTCTCCCGCCTGCGTCCCTTGACAAAACCGTGGTCGAAGTACGTGGCACGACCGCTGACACGAGAAGCGAAAAAGGCTTTGCCTGCGACTGGAAGTACATGTACCACCCTACGTCCACGAGGCCCGAGAGACATATTTTTATGGAGAGCGGCCCCCTGCGATAAATGCCAATAAAGCGGCGACGCACAATAAGCCCTGACCTTCTGCAAACCGATGTTCAAGACATCCCAAAACAACCTGACGGAAAGGCTCTTCTTTTCCGATCCGAGGCCCGCCCTACTCCAGATACGCCAATTGGGATAGAATAACATGTGCCACAGCTCCAACGGCATCGTCCCTCTCGGTACCGATCTTCTTTTTGGAGCTCTGCGAACATAACGGCGCATGGACTGTATATCGTGATCAACAAGCTCTTGAATTTCTGAATCACGAACCTCCGCGTAATCCTCCCCCTCCCTCGTACTCCGCCACTCTTCCCAATTAAGTACTTCTACCGACATACCCCCATCCTGGCCTGGCCCCTCCCAGACACGCATCCATTCGTCGCGCGTGGGAAGAGCCGAGACGATCAATCTGCCATCACGTTGTTTCGGCCCGAAGCGGCAACGAGCCGCGGCCCGCAGAGCACGCATAGCCTCGGCGCCCCGACCTGTGCGAAGAGTTTCCTGAGCCTCCTCCACCAGGCGGGCGCGTCTTATCCGTGTCTGTGTCCGACGGGCCGACGTGAGTACCTGGTCGACCTGGCTAGCGATCTCGGGGGCAGTGTCGAGTTTACTTTGACGAAGAAGGGCGCGACGATGCAGGAGTTCCCGACGACGGCGACAATCTTCCGAATACGAGGGGCACGGAGGGCATGATTTAACGAAGTGTTGCTGCCCTGCTGTCACTATCGCCGTTTCGAGGCTCTCGAAAATCTCGTCGGGGGAGGCATGTTCCAGGAGAAACCTAACAGGTAGTCGTTGCAGCTCCCGTTTGGCCGATTCAAGAAATTCTGCACGTCCAGTCCCCCACCGCAATGCATTCATCATCGTGCTCTTGTCCCAGCGTACCTCTTCTGATACCTGTGGGACCTCGCCGCCTCCTTTCCAGTAAGGCATCTCAAAATAAATCGGTAAATGATCTTTTGGCGCCGGCCCAGTGTAGGCCTGAAGCTTCGCTCCCACTTGTCTCAGCGGGTGGCATTTTCTAACAGCGTGGGCCAGGTCCGCGGGGTAACCGAAGTAGTCTATCCTCGTACCGTCCCCTCCTCCCATGGACGAGAAAAACGTGGGGACGGGGTGGTCCGTGAACGTGTTCCCTGCGACCAAATGATGGATTTCCAGCTGCTCCCGAAAAAGTTGTCCCGCACCTTGCCGAAGTTTCTCTCTCGTAGGGCACCCGATCGCCGTGGAGCAAACGCTTTTCCACCCGTCAGGCCCCATCGCCACCCCCATCCCGTCGTTCACATCAGAGAACAGCAGTGGTGTACAGCGGCATGGGAGGCTAGATAGCACCGCGCCTACCCAATCAGACAGCAGACGCACCACTCGAAGATACCCAGGGCGATCCTTCTTGGAGGGCTGAGGGGGGTAGTAAACCACGATGAGGCAAAGATCCATCGGGCCCTTCTTATACCTTACAGCCACCCCTCTTCCTCCTGCACCTGCTGGACTCGGGAAAACACGTTTGAGGTTCGACTCGGTGGTACCTTGTGGAAGAACGATCGAACACCCGCAGCTTCGATTCGAATAAGGTTCACGAGTCGCTGGAGCCTCCAAGACCATCCTTCCCATCGAACGACCCCTCAATACTTTCTGCTCTGAATACCGACTGATACCCTGCGTCCCTGCCAGAAGAATGAAATCACAGTTCCCTGCCTCCCCCACTATCTCATCCAGGCGCAGGCCGGTGGCTGCGAGCGGATTGAAGCCCAAGACGCGCAGGGACATCACCGCAGCCTGCACCGTGCATGCGAAAAAGGCAACCCCAGCGAGAAACCTGCGTGTGGTTGTGTCCCGCCCCCATCCTGAAATAACCTCGGGCCAGGGGGGCTGGAGGAGGAGGAGGAGGAGGAGGAGGAGGAGGAGGAGGAGGAGGAGGAGGAGGGAGGAGGAGGAGGAGGGAGGAGAGAGGAGGCGGAGGAGGAGAGAGGAAGGAGGAGGAGGAGGAGGAGGAGGAGGAGAAGGAGAAGGAGAAGGAGAAGGAGGAGGAGGAGGAGGAGGAGAAGGACGGGTCGCCTAAGTCCTTTCGAAAAACCCTCCAGCCTGAGCATGCCTCTTGGGTGGTCTGGAGCGGTAAACGCCCCTGCGCCACCCCCCATCGGCGCCCCCGAGGAGTTCTGCACCCACTGGCCGGGATGTTGACGCCGCCCCAGACTAACCTCAGGTCGGGCATTTCCCCCTACAGGCAGATTTTGGACGACACATAAATCATATTCGAAAAAGCTCAACAGTAGACTTTAAAAAGCTCCTGTAGAGGGACACGCCCGACTTAAGACTAACCCTGAGGGGCAAAATGAGGCGTGCCTGGACTACCTCTGGAGACCGTCCGTGCGTAATCCCAAGCCTTACAAGGATGAGCGACTGACAAAGAGAACGCGACTCACACACTCGGAACAGCTCAGGCACTACCAGACATGTCAAATGCTACGCTAGAGTGCTGCGCGTTTACAGCTTGAGCCGAGCAACAGGCCCACGCCTGAGCCATCGCACAGCCTCGTTCGCACTTTGAAGGCAGGGATGGTGAGGGTGATGGGCCGTTCGGAGAAAGTGGTGGTGAATAACTAAACGCAAAGGGCTGGAGGATTTGGAAGAGCAGAAGAAAGAGGATAGGTGTGATGCTGAGGGTGGCGATGAGCTCGAGGAGAAACAACAGCAGAGGAGGACACGGCAGAGCAGATGCGCCAAACAACAGAATCTGGACCCGGACTGCTCGCACTCCGCACTTCTCCGACGAATCTTCCGCAATGCACATTCCACACGAGGCTTCAACGTATCCGCCCCCGTGAGCTCTGGCACGCTGAGGCGCTGAAGAGTGCCAAATGGTCGAT